TCCTCTGCTACAAACAGCTTCCAACTGATTGGTTGCACGTAGAAGGGTCAGCAGCAACTAGGACAACGTTTAAATTATTATTTGACCTTTGAATGCAACGCTCTGCGACAATTTTAAACAGTGTGTGACGCAGAGGGCAGCGCTTACACCAAGTCTTTGGGCACTGCTCTCTCCATAGAAACACAATGGCATCGTCAGCTCAGAGCCGTTTTATGGCTGTGCAGCTTAACGGTTCATTTGTAAATCTGTGTCTGAATCTCACCAAAAAACTCAGCCCCAACAAAACAACAGTGACGAGTTACAGTGCGCTCATCACTACTTCATTCAATGGCAAATTACTAAACCTGATTTGAATAATCCAACAATATCTATCACACCAGAATTTGCTAAATGACATTGGCTTGCATGCTAATGCTAGGCTGCAGTGGCTTGCCGTAGCTACCAAGTGTTTCAATCACGATAGTTGCAATCTCTGAGATTTCCTTAGAGCAGGGGTGCCCACACTTTTTCAGCTTGGGAGCTACTTTTAAAATGACCAAGCCCAAATGATCTACCAATCTGTGTCGCGAGCGCGCGGGGGGTGCTAGTGGACTAAACGGCGGATAAACTGTGGCACGCTTACAATAATTGCGCCGCATAAGCGCATAATTCAGATGAGGAGGTGAGGCCCCCTCATAACTGCATGAACCCGCATGGCACAATACAACTCAGACTGGCTTACCTGTACGTCAATCAAGTGGCAAATGCCATAGTAAGGATTGATGATAGGCTAACTTTCCTTCTTTTCTTTTTCAATGCGGTCTACCCACACTACCTTTGCGATCGACCGGTTGATCACGATCGACGTATTGGGCACCCCTGCCTTAGAGGATGCTTACTATCAAAAATCACACTTGGACCTTATATTTTATCTTATAGGTCATACTTTCAAACACAATCTTTCACTTTTCTAGGAGAAATTCTCTGAGTAAAAGAATACTTCTACCTTTTGTTGGCCCTTTTTCTAGAATTCATGCAACAGTGGAAGACTTTTAGCTGAAAAAAATTGAAATGTTGAGAACAAAGTTGAATGCAGATAATTTAGTCAAATATTTGAAGATTAAAGTTGAACTTTTAACAATAAATCAAACTATTAGCGCACACTTCCCATCCTATAACAACTTGTATTGCAGTAAAATTACTGTCATATTACCTTATACAGCAAGGTCAATTAAGATAGAAATCAATAAAACATGTGTTTACTTCAGTTGTCTCCACCATCATCTGCTCTAACTCAGTGAATCAGTCACTCTGCATGCATTTTGTTCCCACAGAGCATTCATCTCATTTTGAAGTGAGCTTGTTTTCAGTGTGTGCTCACATCACAGTGTGTGTGTACTGTCGGCCCAGCGGGATGTGACGTGCTAATCCTTCCTTTGGGGAAACGATGGAGGAGGTGAGCTGCTGCTGAAAGCTTCACAAACATCCCCTGCTGCTGCTGCACGAGTCTGGTGTCTCATGTCTCCGAGATAAACTGAGATTTACTGCTGCTCTGCATCTGTGATGTTCAATCCTGATCATTGTAATGGATCATCAGAATCAGAAACAGGTTTATTACCAGAGGAGGTAAGTAGTGGAGTACAAATACTTAGTTACTGTACTTAAGTAAATGTTTCTGGTATCAGTACTTTACTCCACTACTTATTTTTCTGACGACTTTTGACTTTGACTTCTTACATGTTGAACACAAATACCTGCACTTTCTACTTCTTACATTTTCCAAACAGGCTGGTTCCTTTAGTTTGAATGTGTGTTTGGTGGCGTGATCATTATTATTTAGAGTCATTGCGTGCCTATTGATTTGAACACGATCCGTGTATCCATCATTTCCTGGTCTTCTCTAAAGAAGAGGGACCAATGAAAACGTTGTCATGTTGCCGTTGTTCAGCATGGAAACATTCATTAGCTAACAATGACATTATTGTTCTATTAATATAAAGGGAGGTCAGGTACTCTTTAAAACAGCTGCTAGTTATGGGTACTTTTTACTTAAAGTGGACCTATCATGCTATATTTGAATAATATAGTATAGGACCATACCTATATAAGGCATATTTATACTTTTTTTTTTTCAAAATACCAAAACAGATCATGCATTTTAGCCATGCCTCATTTTGCTCAATTTGACATTTTTTAGCTCTGTTTTGCAAGGGCTGATTCTGAGAGAACAGCACCATCTACAGGCCTGGCATATGTACTACAGCGTCTCCAGCGCTTTCGAACGGCAATGGCCGTGGCTGTCTCCTCCTGATTGGTGGAGTTGGCCCAATAGCCGTAGCGCCACTGTCCTGACGTCAGGACAGTGTTCAAATCTGGATCAGTTTTTATCAGATCCGTTGCAGACCCTTTTTTAGAGATTTGGGTATGGAGGAAAATAGAGAGGGTTGTGTTTTCTGACACTTGGTGAGTTCCCTGGAACACCGGGCAGCAGCACCAGACACTTTTTACGCTGGACAATCTTGCACTAATGCACATTTCTCAAAGTTATTGAAGTGACTGTTATTTTGTATATATTGATTGTTGTGCTTTTATTTAGGTCTTAATGTCTGCATATGTATAAATGTGTCTGTTGATTGTGTATAAACATATTTTTATATATATTTGTTGTATTCGGGATTGTGGGAAATGGTATTTCGATCTCTCTGTCTGTACACACAAACTGAAAGATTGACAATAAAGTTGACTTTGATAGAAATATAATGGAATAAAATGGAATCGTCATAAGACCAAACTTCCAAAACCCCACCTCATAATTAAAAGCGTGTTCATAAATATATTGCTCACACACAATACACAAAATGGAGCCGTGTTTTGTTTGCTTTGTGTACAATTAAGCAGTGGTGGAGTGTAACTAGGTACAGATAGATACTTAAAGGTCCCCTATTATACTGTTTTTCATCAATATATTATAGGTCTCAGATAATGTATATACAAATCATGTCTCTGATTGTCTGAAACACCAAACAGATCATTGCAGCATCCCATAATCCCCTCTGTTTCAGCCCTGTTTCAAAAGTGCTGATTCTCTGTCTGTTACTTTAGATGAAAATAAGGAGCCCCTCCGCTTTCGAGCGGTCTCGTGTGGAAGTACAGCGCCACTCACAGTCCCGGCATATGTACTACAGCGTTTCCAGCGGTCTCGTTTGAACAGACACGTGAAATGAAACGAATGCATGTGAACGGAATACTTTTTTGAAAACGCATACTGTGCATAAACGCAAACGTTCCCGTGTAAAAGCAGCCTTAGATGAAAATAAGGAGCCACTCCCCTCTGAGAGAGATTTCGTTACAAAGAACACAATAGTGCTCTAGGAGGAGATTCAGGTGATAAGGTGGGGGGGGGGGGGGGTTACCTTGGTTGGTGATTGGCTAATGGTTACACAAGCCAACACATCGTTATGACATCATAAAGTGGCCAAAATCTGATCAGCTCATTTTCAGACAGGTTTTTATATAAATGGATCAGGACAAAAAGAGAGAGAATCTTTGTTCCTGAAACTTCCAGAGTCTCTTTCCACAGAGCGGACACATGTTGATGTAGAAGAGACATGAAGAAGAGCGGACACATGTTGATGTAGAAGAGACATGAAGAAGAGGGGACACATGTTGATGTAGAAGAGACATGGAGAAGAGGGGACACATGTTGATGTAGAAGAGACATGAAGAAGAGGGGACACATGTTGATGTAGAAGAGACATGGAGAAGAGGGGACACATGTTGATGTAGAAGAGACATGAAGAAGAGGGGACACATGTTGATGTAGAAGAGACATGAAGAAGAGGGGACACATGTTGATGTAGAGGAGACATGAAGAAGAGGGGACACATGGTGATGAAGAAGAGACATGAAGAAGAGGGGACACATGTTGATGTAGAAGAGACATGAAAAAGAGGGGACACATGTTGATGTAGAAGAGACATGGAGAAGAGGGGACACATGTTGATGTAGAAGAGACATGAAGAAGAGGGGACACATGTTGATGTAGAAGAGACATGGAGAAGAGGGGACACATGTTGATGTAGAAGAGACATGAAGAAGAGGGGACACATGCTGATGTAGAAGAGACATGAAGAAGAGGGGACACATGTTGATGTAGAAGAGACATGAAGAAGAGGGGACACGTGTTGATGTAGAAGAGACATGGAGAAGAGGGGACACATGTTGATGTAGAAGAGACATGAAGAAGAGGGGACACATGTTGATGTAGAAGAGACATGAAGAAGAGGGGACACATGTTGATGTAGAAGAGACATGAAGAAGAGGGGACACATGTTGATGTAGAAGAGACATGAAGAAGAGGGGACACATGTTGATGTAGAAGAGACATAAAAGAGTGGATTTTGCGCAATAGGTGAAATGTCAAATAAGACATATTTTATTACAAGCCACCAGTATAACCAGCAGTATATAAATGAATTCAGTGAAACACTTCATTTAATTGAATTTCTTTATTGTAATTGTACAGGTACAACGAAATTGTAAAGTCAATGAAATGTGGCGGAGTAGAAGAAATAGGTAGAAATACATTTAAAATACTCAAAAAAGTACTTCAAAAATTATATTAAATGAGGCTCTTTGAGTACATTTTACCAGCGATGATGATAATATTGTATTTATTTAATAATCTAGCATTGGTGCTGGCAGGTGGAGGAGCAGTGGTGCTGGCAGGTGGAGGAGCAGTGGTGCTGGCAGGTGGAGGAGCAGTGGTGCTGGCAGGTGGAGGAGCAGTGGTGCTGGCAGGTGGAGGAGCAGTGGTGCTGGCAGGTGAAGGAGCAGTGGTGCTGGCAGGTGGAGGAGCAGTGGTGCTGGCCGGTGGAGGAGCAGTGGTGCTGGCCGGTGGAGGAGCAGTGGTGGTGGCAGGTGGAGGAGCAGTGGTGCTGGCAGGTGGAGGAGCAGTGGTGCTGGCCGGTGGAGGAGCAGTGGTGCTGGCCGGTGGAGGAGCAGTGGTGCTGGCCGGTGGAGGAGCAGTGGTGCTGGCCGGTGGAGGAGCAGTGGTGCTGGCAGGTGGAGGAGCAGTGGTGCTGGCCGGTGGAGGAGCAGTGGTGCTGGCAGGTGGAGGAGCAGTGGTGCTGGCAGGTGGAGGAGCAGTTATGTTGGCTGGGTGCTGGCAGGTGAAGGAGCAGGTGGAGGAGCAGTGGTGCTGGCAGGTGGAGGAGCAGTGGTGCTGGCAGGTGAAGGAGCAGGTGAAGGAGCAGTGGTGCTGGCAGGTGAAGGAGCAGGTGGAGGAGCAGTGGTGCTGGCAGGTGGAGGAGCAGGTGGAGGAGCAGTTATGTTGGCTGGGTGCTGGCAGGTGAAGGAGCAGGTGGAGGAGCAGTGATGTTGGCAGGTGGAGGAGCAGTGATGTTGGCTGGGTGCTGGCAGGTGAAGGAGCAGTGGTGCTGGCAGGTGAAGGAGCAGGTGAAGGAGCAGTGGTGCTGGCAGGTGAAGGAGCAGGTGGAGGAGCAGTGGTGCTGGCAGGTGGAGGAGCAGGTGGAGGAGCAGTGGTGCTGGCAGGTGGAGGAGCAGGGATGTTGGCTGCTGGCTGACTGGGTGGTGTCCGCTCTCCTTGTCTCTCCTCACTAGCCATGTCCTCTCTTTCTTCACCCTCACTTTCCCTTCTCTCAGTCTCCTCATCCCTTCTTCCCTCATTCTTTGAGACTAATGTAAGTAGAAGACATGGCCCTGTTAATTTTCGAAGATTCAAAATATTATAGCACTTAAAAATAAGAAATATTACTTTTATTATTAATAGTTCAGACTTATTATACCTGTGTCACCTTTCACACTATAGCTGTGATCATTAGCTATGCGCTCTGTATTTACAGGTCCCGGGTTGCATCGCGGTGCAGGGGCCCTCCTCCTTTTGACCACAGGGCGATGCACAAAGATGGTGGGAATAGCATCTGCTCTCAGCCTAGTCTTGCCCTTTTTGGTATGGACAAACTGGTCTGCCTCAAAATGTGCCTGCAGAGTGACTTGAGGTTACTTCCCACACACAACAACTCAGTTTTGTCTAACCACATACATATCCCATAGTGGTTGAATGCACAGTATTGGGGAACACTTTATACTTACGGGACATGTATACACTCATTACATACTGTATGTAAAATACAACCAAGAATGTGAGACAACTTCATATCACATCCGTTACTGATGCCATTTTTCATACTTTGTTAAACTCACAAATAATAAAGTTCCATAACTTCAGTTGGAAACAAAGACCACACCTTATCTCCCCAAGGCAATTTCCCATCCAATAGGTGTGCTATATAGGTGTGTATAACCCTTTCTCCTGTCTGTTTCTCCCTCTTTCAGCACAAGAACCAGAGGGGGATTCAATAGAGCCTGAATACCTGCACTGAGACCCTCACCCTGCACCTGAGTCTCAACTCTCAGAGTTTTTCAAGCCTTTCCCTGTTAGTTTTATTAAACCAAACATTAAGCTTCCCAATGGTGTGGTCTTCGTTTTGTGAAAGAGTGCAAATGTTTGAATAGGATTACCTCACATATTTTGTTGCTGTTGTTCACTGTTATGATGGTTAAATGGCTCCTGCTGACTTGAGCCAGCCATTTTTTTCTCCTCTCTGTGTCAGTGGGGAAGCCGTACATTCGTACTCCTTTCTCTGAGCGATTGGCGCATCCCCAGGCAGCACAGCAAACCATGGTGGAGACTATATGCCAGGACAACACAGAGGAAAAGGCACAGACAAACTGCATGACATGCTATTCAATGTTTATTGAATTCCATTTATTTACAATGGATGTTCCTAAAACAATACATTTAACATCATCATCATGCTGCTGCTGCTAGTCCTTTGACTCATTGTGCTGTCAGTTGACAATCATTGATAGGCACCTGTCGGTCTCCTGTCCTTTCTGAAAGTCATAACGATGACATTAGTCATTTAGATAATGTAGGTCCTCAATTACCATGGGATTACTGAAACCACCATGAATAAAAGAAATGGTATAAATGTATCTAATCTACATTTTGAAGCATTCCTTGCCATCCCCTCCCTCTAAATATATCAATAAACATTAGGATGTGATGCTCCTGACTACCATACAAGTTTAAGAAGATAATATTTGTTTTAAAGAATTCAAAGCAATAAACAACAGCAACAGACTCTTTAACCAAGGCAACGTTAGCCTAACATGTATATGTTAACAAGGCAAGTAAGATAGCTGTTCACACTAATCCTAATATTATCTCTAAATATGAGCAAATTATATTTTATTTTTAAAACATATTGATGTAAATACATACACATATCGGTATGTTGTATAAATATTGCAAATCAAAACCTTATTGACTACTAATTACCAGAGGTGGGACCAAGTCATTGTTTTGCAAGTCCGAGTCAAGTCTCAAGTCTTTGCGCTCAAGTCCGAGTCAAGTCTCAAGTCTTTGCACTCAAGTCCAAGTCAAGTCTCAAGTCAGGATGGGAAAGTTCAAGTCAAGTCCAAGTCCTAAACTTTGACAAAACGAGTCTTAAAGGGCCCATGTCATGGCCATTTCCACTGATCATAATTACATTGTTGAGGTATACTAAAATAGATTTATACTGTGCAATTTTCCAAACTCACATTGGTTTCGCATACAGCATCTCTGTCAAGCATGTGTATTCAGCAGTATTCACTTTCTCCACTAAACGACTCGTTGGAGCTCTTGCCCCCCCTCCCTGTGAGCCTAGTGTGCTCCGATTGGTCAGCTCGGCCACTCGTTCTGATTAGTCAACCACCAGAGAGGCTGCGCCCATGTCAGTGCTTTTCCCGGCTGCTCTCAGCGTAACATCAGTCTTATCATGGCGTCGGTACGGAACTGTTGTTATAGAAGAGTGTGACGGCCCCAGGGCCTTTGTCTTACGATGGGGTGGAGCTGAAGAGGCTAATCAGCACGATCACGGACACCTCCGGACACGACGGCCCCAGTCTCTCTCCAAAGCGGCTGCAGGAAGACTAACTCTGCGATCCTCTCAACCACCTATCTCTGCATTTACCACAATAAATGTGCTGTGGTTTTGTAAACTCGTGTATGTCTCCTTGTCTTTCCGTTGTGGCCTACGAGCCACTCTCATAACAAAGAGTAAGTTATTTTTACCCGTTATAAACTACTACTGTTTGATGAGAAATCAAATCATGGTTTGCTATATATGAATTCAGGGAAGAAAGGATAGGCCTACTAAGTATTTCCATTAAACTTTATTTTTAGAAATGTACAAAATGAACATAAATATACATATATACACACGGTATATTCCTCCTCCTCGCATCTTGCCTGCGCACAGTCGGTGCGGTGCCTTTTAGCACGAGGCCTCAGTAGAAGTCCCTTCCCCGTCATGGATTGTCCGCCAGGATCTGGCTGGACGAAATCAAATGCAAATCACAAAATATTAGAGAAACTTAGTTGTTTTAGATTCGTTAGTAGTAGTTGTGTAATGAACAGCTTGCCTGCTAATATGCTAACCTAGCTTTGTTTACCTTGGTAGCTAACACGATATGAACGTTAGCTTGGAGGAAAGGCAACTATAATGCAGTGTAATAAAACTACTATGAACAAAAGCTAGTGGTTCATATTAGGCTAGCAATAACGTGTTTATAATTGCAATCGTATACGGGTATTCTGCTACCATACAATGTAACTTGCATGAATACATTGTTTTGCGCTAGCATACAGCTAGCCTCGTTAGCTACATGCAGTATATGTACGGTCACAATGTACGGTAAACCGGAGTATACTGTATGAGTATTCCGTGTGTGTGACTGCAGACATTCTCCTGCCATGACAAACATGTAAGGCCATCTGCTGACATTGTAGTTGATATATTTAAACGCTAGCAACGTAGCATCACAAAAATGTTTTTCCGACCAAAACTAGCTCTAGCTCCGTGTGTTAGATCGCTACGCCAGCTATAATGTAATTACGTTTCGCGACTGACCGCACGGCAAATCACCCGGAGTATACTGTCAATAGGTATTTTGTGTGTGAATGCAGACATTCTCCTGCTATGAGATACATGTATGCAAGGCCATCTGCTGATATTAGAGTTGATATATGGAAACTCTAGCAACTTAGTTAGCACTGTGTCAATGGCTTAGCAGTCCAACACAGTTTACACATTTAAACAGTCTTGTTTGATAAATACACAAATAACAATGCAAACTTACAGGTTGTATACCCAGATCTTCCCCTGCTCCAAACGGTCCAAACAAGCTGTGCATATCCGGCCTCAAACTGGGCAATGTTTTGGAAGCTTTCGTCTGTGAAATGCCGGTTCTTCGAACCTCTGGAGGAGGAACACGCCGCTGCTGGTGTGGCCATAGCTCTTCGGGATTGGTCCATTTCGTTCCGGGTACCGCATGACATCAGGCGGTACCCGGAAGAATCAAATGGGCAGTGACGTATCTCCAACGAGGCGTTTTGGGGAGGTATTTTCTGTGTTAGAGTTTTACTCGCTACAGGGTGTACTTTGAGGGTTTTGACTCTGCACACCGTTTACAAACCTTCATAACACACAAGGGGACGGGTAATAACCGGAAAAGCATGACATGGGAGCTTTAAACAAGTCCTTATGTGCTTTTCAACAAATGTAATGACATCGATCAACAGAATAATACTTAATAATCAAACTGCTCTTTATTAGTCACATTAATAATTTAATAATCAATTTTCTCTCTGCTGGTAAAGTAACGTGTTTTTCTTCTATTGTAAGAGGGATCAGTAAGGTAAGGCTACCGTGACGGTTTGATTCAGAAGGAGTTTAATGTATAAGATCCCTGATGTTGAGGTGACCAGAATGTTTATTTCCACTGTGTACAGCATGTTATAAGGGACCCACAATCTATCTTTATGCAAGGGATAATGTGCAGCGAGGCGTCTCTATGGGGAAAAGAACACCTGAATCTAGATCCCTCTGCAGGTGGTACTTTAACTATATTTTGATGCTAATACTTTTGTACTTTTACTTGTAACATTTTGAATGCAGGATCTTTTATTGTAACCGAGTATTCCTACACTCAGGTACTTTTACTCAAGTACAAGATCTGAACTTCTCCCACCTCTGGCAATAAATCCTGAGTGGTTACCAAAAAAAAAACCCTGCTCTGAAGGTTATTTTCATTTTACAAATCCTGCACTCAGCTTTGCTTTCTCCAATATCATTGAAATGCAGCCAGATGCTGCTCCTTTTTTCGGTTTTCGCAAATTTCTTGACTTCTTCCGACGCGCTTGCATTTAAATCCGGCTCCCCGTCTCCCCGTCTCCCCGTCGCTCTGTGTATCTGGCCTGTACCACTACACCTGCTGTCTTTGGAGCGTCTGCCCCCCACCCTTCTTTCACATAATGGTATGATCCTAGTGTGTCCTCGCATATGATTGGCCGCATGCTGGCTCAGCAAAATAAAGTCCCGCCCCTGCCTGCATGGATTCTCAGCAAGAGTTGCAGCGGCTGAAGATTCTGCTCTCCCCGACGGGAGTCTGCTCTTCAAGCGGCATCTTGCGATCGGCGTGTTGGAGACCCTGAATTAAATTATCAAGTCACCTCAAGTCAGAAGGCTCAAGTCCAAGTCAAGTCCCGAGTCATTGGTGTTCAAGTCCAAGTCGAGTCGCAAGTGTTTTGTGATTTTGTCAAGTCGAGTCCAAAGTCATCAAATTGGTAACTCGAGTCTGACTCGAGTCCAAGTCATGTGACTCGAGTCCACACCTCTGCTAATTACCCAAAATCGCAGTTCTATCTCCTGTTATCGATGCATTGAAATGGCCCGCCACGAACTTCCGGGAACTATCTGAGTCTCCAAAAAGGCTTCTCAATTCTCTAATTTCCCCTCCTCGACTCCTCCGCTCGCATGTCCTGTGGGCGGGACTAAATCACGAGGATAGGAGTCGAGGAGGGGAAATTAGAGAATTGAGAAGCCTTTCCTGACTCAGATAGTGAACCATGAACCACGTGACGATCAAGTATTTTGGACTTCCGCTGTCGCAACTCTTCTATCTATACGGCGCTGCATTTTAGACTGAAATCATCCATATGCGCAATTTCCGAGCAGCTTTGTCGCTCTTGAACGCACCGCCGCAAGGAACCCTGGGAATTACAACAAGGCGGACGTCCAAAAACACCGCCGAGTGTCCGAATTCTTCACAACGAACAAGATAAACTGTCAATAATAACACATTTCACAACGTAAAAAGAGCAAACCGTCGGTATTCTAACCGTTAACGGCCGCTCACAATGAACCGGGGGAGGGTCGAAGCTCCGTCCGGTCAGCCGGTGAAAACTAACCGACTGAGGAGGAGTTTCAGGCAGACTCAAAACACACAGACCGCGGGGGAGGAAGACTCTCCAATCAGACCAAAGTCGGGTCAGTATTTATTCATTTTAGTAACTTCATGTTAGGTTTCTGCCGGGAAAATTCTGAATGTACTCTTCCAATATCAGAGTAATATGATAACAAAGGTATCCCAACTGTGGCTGTGTACATGACACATACATGCCAACCTTTCCAAATCCAAAAGAGGTAGGTTTGCGCGCGGCAAATGTGCACGCCCAAATTAGGTAATCAGAAC